TAGGTTGCAGAGACAAACTTGTAAGAAACTTTTTACTCTGCTTAGTTCAGTTTAGCAAGCTTGAAAAAAAATTATATTTTATTTTAGTTTGACTATTTTTTTTGTTCATAATACAGCGGGTTTATAGTATATGCCCTAAATCATGATCGAAGTTTCTAACTAAAGATAAAAAAAAGATAAAATATGTAAAGTATTTCTTTAAAAAAGCGTTAGTCATGATAAAAAAATTTATGCATCAAATTAAACAGAAGATAATAAAAGATAATCATACATGTATGTATATGACTTGGCACACGTTATTATTGTATATATTCCAAGATTATGTACGTTAACACTTCCATTTCTTATATCATCGTAAACTACAAAAAAAAACCCCTAAATTTTTTGTATATACTTTTCATAGTAGATTGAATGGTCTGCTGGGAATGCGTTTAATTATCATAAACAGTGTACCACTGCCACGCGATGTCTGAATCTCAATCTAGCAGTTAAACTGTAGTAACGGTACTATCACATACAGAATTCTGTTTTAGGTACCCTTAAAACTAAGACAGATAACAAAAAGAAGATAACTCATTTAGTTTTAAAGATGCTCAAAGAAGAATTTGTTATTTGTTTGTGTTGCTGCTGCTAGTTTGAGCTTTCTACCCAATTTCTGTAGTTGTAATACACTATAGTGGGACAGACTTGAAGTAAAACAGACGTTGATTTTAATTATCAACGAAAAACTAAGATATTAGTTGTTTTATTAAGTCTTTGTCTTAAATGGCAAGAAACTCGTAGTTCAAATTTTTATTTTCATGTTGAACAAAATCTTATAGCTGGAAGAGAACATAGTATTGATTGTTTGGAAATGAACAACGAACATGTGAAGAGAAAAAGCTTTTGACATAAAAAACCCTTTTTTTATTAAAAAAAATTGAAATTAAGTACATCAATACATGAGCAAATTTATTAACAACGAATCAAAGAAAAAAATGAAAACAAACAAAGAATACGCAATCCAACGTATTAAACAACACTTAAAAACACTTCTTTCTCTCCTGTCAAAGCCTTTTATTTTATCTTTTTGTTATTTTAAAGTGGTTTGTAATGATGATTTCATTCCAATCACCTGGTTATCTCAGTACGATACTTGGCCACTATGTGTCGCAAGGCACACCTAACGAGGCTAATAAAAATGAGTTAAAATTGAATTCTCTTATCGGTCGACCCTTGATTTCTCGTTTAGAGAAAAGTGCTATGAGCACTGAAATATAGCCATGGGCCTATGAATTCTCTTTTTTAAACAGATGTATTTAGATATAATAGCAACGAGCTTCGAACTTCCGTTTCTTAGAGCGAGGATAACCGTAGTCGTAGTTGACAGTGAAGTTGTTGCTTTTTTGTTGCTAACGTTCATTAACCTTCTTCTGTTTTCTTAAATTGAACTATTTAATTCGAACGGGTGTAATTTGTTTTTATGTTTTAACGGAACATTATTAATAAAATCTTGTTTTTAGATAAAACTAGAATTTTATTATTGTTTAAAAAAAAACACGTCACGTATCTCTTAAAACAATTTATTTAATTTCAAAGATGCATGACGTTACTGCGATAGTATAAAACCATTTATTCAAAGTAATGGGTGTTATCGCATACTGAGTGTCGTTAGTAACAACTATTGACAGATAAACACTTTAAGTTGATGGTGTAAGAAGATTTGTATGCTTTTAATAAATTTTTTACTTGCTTAACCTTAGTTCTATAGGTGACTCAAAATCTGAGATTTTATGTTATGCACAACGAAGTTTTGTTTCAAGTTAAAAAACGTAAATTGTTAAAATGAATGTTCCCAATATCTGTAATATTTATAAGAAATAGAACTTTATTAGAACTTTTCATTTTTCAAAGTAAAAAAACAAATTATATTATTTGTAGAACTTTTTCAAGGCTACTTATTTTTATGTTGCTTTTCTATTCAGTTATCAACATGTTATAAAAAAAACTAATTTATTACTAACACTTTCAAAAGAGAAAGTCAAAAACACATTGTAGTCTGTGGCACCCTACTGCATTGATATAAGACCCTGTGATGAAGATATCAAGTCAAGAAAAAATAAGTCAGCTTTAAAATAAGATGTATATATTGTTGATGGCTATTTCATGGTTACACCGACATATGTTCACATATGCGCCAACATGCGTTGCAGACATAGAGTCGTTCAACAAATGATTATCACTACTCTATGTAAACGTTTTATCATGTTGCAATAGCAATCGGATATTAACCTTGTAGACAAGGCTTGAAAAAATTAAATAAAATCAAATGCGGGTAATAGCGTAGGATCTATTTTAATTGGTATGTATTATCATTCTATCATGAGAAAAAATATTTTACTTAAACCAAAGCGTTTGCTTGGATTTTAAAATCAACAAATATTAAAAAACATGAAAGGTTTTTGTTATACTTTTGATAATAACTTATTTTGTAGGAGTTGGATTGAAAAATTAACCAAAGACAGTTTCTTATTCTTTTGATTATCTATATATTTGTGAAAGTTAGATTATTGTCAACCAATTTTCTGCAGGATAATAGAACAATAAGGACCAAGAGTCTTCATTCGAAATGCCAACATCTGAGCTTTATAACTTCAACAATTTTAAATAAAACTACCTGTAAATTTAAGAGTTATAAGCCCTTCTGTAGATTTTATATTACCTTCAAGGTTTTGATATGAAATAAAAATTATGACATTGTGAATTAAAAATTAATTAAAAAATGTTATAAGCTGTCATTATCATTAAAATTAGTAGCCCAAAATTTAAAAATAAACATTATTTAAATTACTATTGGCTTTAATAAAAAAAAAATTTTATTTACTTTTAGTTCCGTATTTTAATAAATATGTATGATTAACAATTGGAAACAAGTTGGTCAACTCTTTTGTTGCAGAAACAGGACCTATTCAAGCAGAAGGTGCTTATTTGTACAAAAATTAAAAAAAATTGCGATACCATGTTTATAAAAATTGTTATAAATAAATCAGGATTTTCTGAATCAGTAATTCTTATTTGTAACTTTAACTTAAAAATACTTTTTAGCAATTTTTAAAATAAAGTGCTATTAATATTTACTACTCACAGTTATATATGCCCAGACTGATTTGTTTGAAAAAAAATTCAATTTGCGCTACTTTACGTATAACACTGAAAACACAGAGCTCCGATGCATCCATTATCAGGTTGTTATAAAGGTTGTATTAGTAAACATTATAATGTGGTACGAATTTGTATTATGTTAATTATTTTAATTTTTACCTTGTCAGCACATAATTTCTCGGTAGTACAAGAATAATTCTTTGGATAGAATCATACACACGCACTATATATGGCTTCATTTACATTTTTTGTGTTTGAATCGCTGAAGAACATCGCTATCACTAACTGCTACATCACTCCAATTAGCATAGGATACCTTATAAGAGTAATTATTAATTATGATTTTTACAATGCGGTCATTTTATCCACACGTTAAGTTTGGAGTGCTTTCATCTACTATATATTTATTATTAGTCAATGATGCAACAGCTTCTTCAACATTTCCATGCTGTAATACAGTGTATTCTATTTTTTGCAACTGTATTTCATTCCATACCTTTTTTTTACATGCAAATACAACTTATTTCAATATTTTATTTAGAAACAGTTGTTCTACTTTATGCTTATGAACTTTCAAGCGATTATACTCTAGCTACAAAAGTACGGAGTACATGAATGAAACCAATTGTACTTGTGTGTATGTATGATAGTATTATATAAATTATTTTTATACCGTATCGCCTTTTAATTATTGTGTTAAAATGCTGGAAAATTAAATCATTAAAATAATGCAAATCCGTACCATAGCGTAACACTCTTTAAAACAACCTTCGTAATCCCTTATCGATGCAACCAAGTAAAGAGTGTCCAGTGTCATACGTAAAATAGTGTAAATTAAATTTTGATACATAAATAAACATGGGCATTAAAAAGTTCTATGCAGTAAATAGTAATAGCTCAATATATAAAGAACTGACAAACAATTTTTTTCTATTACAAATAATGCATGAGAATCAAAACATTGATGAGAATGACAACACTAATTTGTTAATAACAATTTATAGAAAAGCTATGTCGCAATCTTTTTTCTCGATTCGTGTAATATTAAGCAGTTTTCGCTTAAAGTGATTTTGTTTCTGTAAAAATAAAAATTACAGTTTTTTGCAACTATTAGTATTGCAAAATCGTTATTTAAAAAAAAAAAAATTTAGATTAAAAAAAAATTTTAACTACAGCCTATACTCTGCTATACTTTGCGATATTTTATCTTGCACAGATAGATAGACAATAAAAAAAAAACAAAATTGTGTTTGACTGGTTTTGAATAAAACTGTTATGAAGATAGTTATAATCAAAAGTGTAAAAGTTAGTTGGTTGTAGTACTTGTTTTATAAAACTCAAGCTTACACTTCAGATAAACAAAAGTATTTTTTCTCATCGTGGGATCTTATAACGAAGAAATTAAAACAGATTACACACTATCACCCAAATTTGACATTATGTTTACTAAGTTATATGGAGAATATCGGATCAGTACCTTCAATGATGCCGCTGGGACATGCAACAGATGAAAGGCTGCTAGTCTCTTGATGAGTAAGTGATGGCATTAGTAGCCCACTAGTTGTGTTAATGGAAGCCACCATCTTTAGGTTCGACCGCTGCTGGCTGTTATTAGTGCTACTATTGATGCTATTACTACTAGTGCTAATGTGCACTACCGATGAGCTACTGGCAGTGCACGATGAGGTGCGCATGGGAAGGTCAAGATTCCAGAGCTGAGAAGTTTGATCAGCTGCCTCAGGTGTTGGGGTGTCCGCAGCACTCTCGGATGCCGCCGTTTCATAGTGCGATGGTGGTGGTGGTGGTGGCTGTTGGAGTGAGAGTGAGAGCACCCCACTGCTCGTGACCTCAGTGCTGGAGTCCTGCAGTTGGAGGGAGCCTGGTGCCCCAGAGGAAGGACGGCCACCCCAGCGGCGCTTGACTCCGGCAACGGGCACGCGAGGCTGCATTGAGCCAGGCCCAACGAGCTGGCTCACCACCACGACCCCAGCCACTGGACCCACCAGTGCCACACGGCCACCACCCTTCGCCAGGTCCACAGCTGGTGTTAATACTTTCAGCCTGTCGTTCTGTGGCTAGCAGTTCTGCTACTGTTGCAGATGTCGAGATTCTGGATTAGTAGGTAAGTCTACCTTTGTCACCTGTACAGTACTGACACTTTCCCAAATTATCGCGTCTTCTGTCAACTTACCTATACATGCATTCAAATGTTGAGTTGATATTTATTTATAAATATTATAAGCAAATCACGCCAATTTCGTGTGCACGTATGTATGTGTTAAGCAGGTATATGAACTTGCGAGAGTGCGACTTATCTTCCACAGCGGCCGTGACGTGGGCGTTCAACGGCTCGGCAGTCGGCACTCTCAGTAGTGGCCTTGACGCCAGAAGTATACGTATATACGTATACTATAAGCCCATACAAACATATTTATGTATGTATATGTTTGTGAGTGCATCCGTATCTGCACGGTACACACTCAAACATGCACGCAGACACGGAGCTACAAGCAGTGAACGAGGCAAGCGCAGCCACTCTCTTCTTCCACCTCTCTCCTTGACCTTGATAAGCCCTACTGCTGTTGTTGCTACTGCTTCGCCAGCCCACCTCCGCTCTGCTGCCCCACCTCTTCCGCCAATCCAGATAGGCCGTCTGAGCTCTTCTCTTGCACGGATAGACGGGCAGCAGATGGTATTTACGTTGTCGTGTCTTACCTTACGATTAATGAGAGGAAACCAGAGGTACAGTGGTAATATGTTGATGTACAAAGCTAATTAAATAGTTGACCGCTGGTGCTAGTCGTTTCGGTCATTGGGCTGTAGAAAAGAGGTCACTATCAGATGGCAATACTTTCGTGACTGTCAGACAGCTGCAACTGCGGTATAGTGTGGATGTAGTACATCATTACGACCACCTTAAACACACTCTCTAAATAGCGTTTGTCGTATATTATGATACAAAATTGTATTTCTTATATCATATATATATATACACACGTGTGTAAGTGTTTATATGTTTAAACACAATATTCGTACTAAATGGACCTGGAAGTAGACACATTATACCTCCAAAACTGACAGCTTTGCTAGACGGCTCGTATTGAGGTCATCGCAGAGAAATGGTGGCACTTTTTCTCATGGAGCCACCCGCTCCACTTCTTACTTCGCTTGTACATCCACCGTACGCATATAATGGTTTGAAGGTAGTTCAGGTGTGTCACTACTTTGTTGACTTACTAATTTCACAACTCCTTTTGTACCCTAGTCTGCTACTAGAGATAAAATAAAAATAGCACAGTCAACCGCGCACTAGTACTGACATCACTGAATCTTCACCAAGGAGAATATGTAATGACAATATAAGATCAACAACAAAGACACTAAGTTGAAAATCGGAGCACTGAACTACACAACAACAATAACAACGACACTGTGTACATGTCTAGATATGCGCTGTTACTTCACTTATGCTGCACTTGGTGATACACGTAGACTATAACCATGGGCAACTGCAGTGGGCTGTTAGTTTCATGCGTGACGAACTCCCGGCTGCGTAAGCCCCGCGAAAGTGTCTAGTGAGGAAGACAGAAGCGTCAAGCTGAGGGCACGACATGTTAATACATTTAATCACTCACAAAGACTCAGAAGTAAATTCCACAGAAGCGATCGCCTACGTTAACTAAAGTTTTTTTTATACTAGGTTGCAGAGACAAACTGACTTGCACGCAAACACGTACAGCAAACTACAAGGCCGAGCAACTTGAGCCGAGTTCTTCGACATACTGACTTTGCGGTGCCACAGTGGTGCTCTCTTTCTGCTTCTTTTTTTACTACTACATATATCTGTAATCATTTCATACCTATACATATATTACTCCAGCCCACGAGCACAGACTCACTTTACAAGCGACCGAAGCGACATGAATCGAAGGGGAGTCAGTAGAATGTTGGAATACATATGAACGTATACCATGCTTGGGTAAAGGTATGTGGTAAAAAGAAAGACTGGCAGCGCGCCTGGAACTCTATTGCTGTTGCAAGTGGCCTTTTCACTGTGATTCTCCCAACTCTGCTCTGCTTCTCCTGCTGTGCTCCACTCTGCTCGGCCCTAACTAGCATACTGTCCAACTGCTGCAGCTTATGCAGAGTTGGATGGAGGGGAGATCGATACCAACTGACCAACAAGCATGCACACACCCACATTTCACAAATGCGGCGCAGGTTACTGCAGATATGCAGGGTCGGAGAATGCACTCTCCCCTCTTTACAAATGCAGCTAGAATGTGGTGACTGAGAGTGTAATAGGTCGGCAGCAGTTGCAGCCTATAGGCTCCAGATGTGCTATACTATGTATTATATATGAGGAAATCCGTGAAACAACTAGGGCCTCAGAGAAATCTCAGTCTTTTTACTAAACAAATTCCTTATCTGTACAGTTATTTGTTGATTTCTTAAAGAATTAATATAAACAAATTAACAAAAATAAACTTATAAGTTTATGAGCTACTTCTACATCTTATCGTATAATTAAATTTTGTTAAGGATTATAATGTTAAACTTTTACATTCCATGTATCACTTACGAGATCAGAGTAAATCCAAGAATGCACAAATCAAGCTTAAAATTCGAGAACTATCTGCCGTTTTAAACATCTTTAATAAAGATTCATTGCACACTGAAAGTTAAATATGATTATACCTGTGTTAACACGTGAAGTATAATCTTCAATAACGAAATGCTACCTTTGTAAAAACTACCTTGCGCTTCGAAAGCTGAATAAAAATTTAACGACTTTCCAATGATAACCAATTTGTTATTTTTTCGACTAAATACGCATGAAAACTAGAGCCATTCCATTCGCATACAGTTTTGTATCTTTCGTTATTATACATTATACGTCTGATAAAACATCTTGCCATTAAATTAGATCTAAGATATTTCGGCTACCTACTAAGAACCTACTGTTCACCCCCTCATACTGCCAATGGAGGATCTCTTTCTGTGATTCAGCAGCTTACGGAGGTCCAAAGAAAAGCAGCTCTACAATTTTTCATTGGGGGAGTCCATGTCTCGAAGCATATTACAACTGTAAAACTCCAGGCAAAAAAAAAACTTATGATTTTGTAGAATTTTTTCAGGAATACAAAGAAAACAGTTTTGAGATAATCGAAAGCCAGAAATATTTGTTAAGTTAACAATTTATAAAAAAATTTCCAAATTTTGTTTTAGTTTTTCAGATATTTTACTACTGCTTATCTTTTGATAGTCAAACTTCCTACAGGCAAGATGCTTTTGCGAATCCATGCAAATTTTTTATAATATTTTAACTGCAAAAAAGTGCTACAAATTTTTTTTGGATCAAAGTTAAATAATACAGTATCTGCTTAACAAATTTTGATGAACTAACTTTACAAGGACCATTTTACAAATTTGCGAAATACTGCGCAGTTTATTGCAAGCTAATTTTTTTAAGTATAACTGTAAGGTATTATTTCAGAACTCATTTGGCTTCGATAAACGCATTGTAATTAGTCGAATGTATAATGTACACAAGCAGCCCCCCGTCTCAGCTTCGTCTGGGACTTACTAAATGGAACACCTGAGTGTGTTGACATGTAATGTGAAATGTTCTTAGTTAGAAATTTTATATCTATTCCTGACACTTCTCAGAACAAAAATCTTCTTAATAAAAACATGTTTGTTCGAAATTCATATAGCTTATTTGGTCAAATATAAAGCCGTGAAAAGCAAAAAAAATTAAATTATGCTGAAAAGTACCGTGCGTTCCTTATGCCATAAAATAATCGTTGGCCCTAAAGGGCCGTTAATTGGCAGTTCCTCCCGTATAATCTACGAAAAGGGCTATTTTTTAAAGCTACTAAGATGTTAAACTCCCAAAAAATATATATACATTAAAAAAAATGTTTTCTCTTATCTAACAACTTTATTATCAGAGCAACAAAGTCCTGGACATTCATCTCTACACTATTTATCGCCAAAAAAAAAAAATACATATTCTACCTGTTACAGAATCTGGAAGATTTAAGAGATTACTGTGAGAGTACTGATTGAAAAGCTAATCTCTCACGCAATGGATTATTTATTCTTCGATTTTGAAGCTGCTGTTTCAATCTCGATGAATGTTCTGCGTAAGTTTTTTGACGCCTAAAATTTCATTCATTAGATGCATGTATCATTTTTCTTTTAATTCGCCCTCTTTATGGTTAAGACTTTTGTGAGCCCTGAAAGGTGTTTTCTGTCAACTTTATGAAGTTCTAATATATTTGTTGGCAAGGTAATTCGACGTCCGATTGCTCTAAAAAGGGCCAGTGAGCTTCTTAAGTAATCTCTTTCTTGACTGAAGTTTCCAGCAAACGTGACTGCCTGGAAACCTAAGAGTGATTTTCTCTGGTCTGCTGTTGAAGCTCCACACTAATGGGAAGAAAAATTACAAAGTCAGAAGCTTTGGAACTAGTTGTAGGAATATTTTCCAACGGCTCCTGGTATGACGTCAAAAACGTTGGTGTCCCAAGCACTATCTATTTTTTGCAGACTCAGTTGTTTTAGTGATCTAATGTGGGGATGTTGGTTCGTGATGCTTGTGCGTTAGGGACTGTTCTCTTGGCTCAATTTTTTTTCCTTCATAACTGTTAGGTTCACCCAGCGCAGACGTTGGAAGGGATCGGTGATTCCTGGTTGCATGCTTTGAGTCGAGAGCGTAATATAGGATCATCGGTTACCGGAGTTCCCAGCGTTGCAACGAACAACCCCCCTCGTGACGACTACCAGTGAATGACTGACTTGGTTTAATAGTGGCCGTCTTTAGTTAACATAATATTTTAGTCGACGAATCGTTTCCGAAAATAGTAGTAAAAATGTATTTGTTGACAAGGTAGTTTAAATTTAGATGGCCCTTGAAAGCACCAATGAGATTGATGGTTAAGTAGGGAAAGATACTTATAATGGCCCTGAAAAGGACCAGTGGTGAAACTTCCAACTATCCTCATTATTATTCTTGATGATGAAGAGCTGGCTGCAGGTAGCTTGACTCTTACTCTCGAAGTCTCTGTGTATGAAGACCTAGATAGAGTAAGGTACACCGCTGACCAAAGAATATCTTGTCTTCAGATCGTTCCCCGGATAACCAACCGCTCATAGTTAGTCGGGAAAGTGGGCCTAGAGAATACCTTCTATGTAGGTATGCAGTTGGGACGACCACTAAGAAAGAGGCTGTTGTGGCTGCCCGTACTTTTCAGGGATATCTTTCCTGGCTTGCATTTGTAGTAAAACATTATCTGACGGCACCAGGCCGGGTGGTGGAACGGCCACATTACTCTGAGTGACTGGAGCAGGTTGTGCTCTGGATAGACACGTCTCCTGCTATTCCACCGGAGACGTTATCGATTACAAATTATTTTTATTGGTGGCACTTATCAGTCCTGGAGGTTTAGGGTGAAAGTAGACCTAGGTTACTTGCCCATTGGAGAAAAGCGTCATCGGTAACCGGGATGTACGCAGCTGCATGACTAACATCTACATTCTCGATGCAGTCTGATGTACTGCCGGCAGACTACTGCAGAATTTTTCAAGACGGTCTGGCTAATTATAACCACACTTATTTAATTTTGTTCCAGGTAACTTTGATTTTATGTCAACGCCACCTAGCGGATTCTACTGAACTAACGGGGAAAGCAATCGTATTTTTGGAAAACTTTGAGCTTATTCATTTGCTATTATTATTACATTTTTCAAGATAAAAACCATACTAAAACCATCTTGGAAGTGTCAAGAATCGGTATGCAAAATTTCAGCTAGATCGCTTGAGTAGTTTTCGCGGTTAGCGATTACAACGGTTTTAGAGACTTTGCTTTATATAGTAGTAAGATGAGGAATTTTTTCCTTCTTTCTTTATCGATTGCCTGTTTTAAAACAAATTTTTATAATAAAAACAAATGAACATCTCAGCCGCCTTTTCGTTTTCGTTTTTTTTTTTTTTTTTTTTTTTTTTTCAATTAAACGGCACATTATTGATTATAAAAAACCACAGGTGAAAACAAAAATTCGGCTAACTCTGAAAATATATCTCGAATTACATAGAAACAACTTTTTCAAGTTATACTTTTATAGGCACGTTCTGCCCTACAGAGTTAATCAACAATTTCAGATTAGTGACTTTAAGAAAAAGTGTAACGGAAGCTGACTTTGCTTGATCCCCCCCCCCCCTTTGCCCCGCCCCTATGATGTACATTTAGTCCCCTGTACACCACACAACGCCACCACACTACACTACAGCACACATTTTGAAACGTATTTCTTTTAACCAATTTAAAAAATAAAAAAAAGAAAAAAAAAAAGCAGATTCCACCTAGATTTGAACTCCCGAACTCTTGCACAGTACCCAGAGCCCTTACCCACTCTTACATTAGCGATCCCAATCAAAAAACTTCGATTACTTCGTGTTATCTCACAGTTCGTAACTTATGTTTAATGTAAATTTTTATTTACAGTGAATTAATTCATTTGGTTCAAAATATATATTTAAGGTGAATGTTTTTTTCGAAAACTTGGAAACTAGTATATATTGGCAGAACAGCTTTTATATGAATTAATGAACATTTATTAATCCATCATTAATTTCTCACGCTTAAAATAAATAAATAATTGTTTATACAAATACTCACATTTTTCAAAATTTTTATAATTAAAAAAAAAAATTTTGTCGTGTATAAATACAATAATTAATTTTTATTGCGTTTTC